ATTAAAAAACTCTATAGAAGAACAAGAGTAGACTGTCTGGATCATGTGGTTGAGGTGGTAAAAAAGTCTAGTCCAGCAGGATTAAATAAAGCTCAATGTTATGAAGGTGGAAAAGGTTTTCAATACTTGGATATTAAAGCTATTTTGGGAATTTATTTTAAGAAATTAAATGGTTTGCAAAAATATCAACATTTTCTTTTTGAAGCATCTAATCTTGGTACAGTAAAAGTTCAAGAAGTTGCTAATGGTTCTTTTGTTGAATTTGATTTATTAAAAATTAGGAGAACAGATATTTTTGAAGAAATTAGAGCTTTATCTATTTTAGTGTTAACACCACCTCCTTTGGATTACAAAAGGCAAGAATACCTTTATAATAATATTTGTGCATTTGTAAGGGATGAATTTAAAGATGTTACTTGTCCAAAACCAATTTATGCTGACAATGAATAGAAATTTAAAAATAAACTTTCTCTATTACTTCATTATTATATTAATAAAATATTTACATACTTAATAATGCTTTTATAAAAAAAAGATATTTAAGTATTTATTAAAAATTGAAGAATATAATTAACAAAAATCATGAAAAACATAATAAATGAACAACAACAAGCAAATAAAGAACTATTAAACAAAATTGCTGATTTAGAAAAGCAGTTAGCTGATAAAGATCAAGAAAGAGAACAATCAATAGAAGAACTTAAAATAAAAATTTGACACCTTACTGGTCAACCTGATGAAAATAGTTATGTCCCTGGTCATTGATGATATAAGAAACTAAACAAGAAATGAATGGATGAAGGTAAACTTAGAATGGCAGCAGATCCTAATGAAACAAGGGAATGAGCCAAAAATTGCAAAAGAATTTGATTTGAAAACATCACAATTGAAGAAATGTTAATGGAGTTTATTGATAGTTCAAAAGAATTAGCTACAAGTTGTTCTAGTTATATTTCAAATTGAAGTAAAAGAGGTTATCAACTTACTGAACAAAAGAGAGAGTATGAAAAGAAAATAGCAGATTTGAATAAGTATAAAGAGCAAGTTGAAGATTTAGAAAAAAAGCTTACAGAAATTTTGTTAGTTTGACATGAGGAGCAAGAAGAAATTGATAATGTTTCTTGAGAAGATCAATTTCATAATTGAGACTTAGGAGAATTAAAAAATTTAACAAGCAGAACAGAGAAAGAATTAAATAAAGTTGTCTTTGAAGTCATTGAAAAATTAGAACAAAGTTCTAAAGACTTAGCTGAAGCAATAAATAAGGCTGAAGAATGAAAAAACTGACAAAAAGGTCTTTTGAATGATGAAATCAAACAAAAATCATTAATGTTGCAAAAGTCTGATAAAATGCTTGAAGAGGAAATTACAAAGAATGCAAAGTTACAAGAAGAATTAGCCCAAAAATTAGAAATGTTAAGAAAGAATGATCAGAGATTTGAGGATGAAGCAAAAGAAAGAGAAGAACTAAAAATACAACTATATTTAGAAAGAAAACCCTTGCCTGCTCTACCTAAAGAAGAAAATAATACTTTAACTAAGCAAAACACTTTCAAGCAATTAAAAACAAAGACAAGAGTCAAGGTTCAGCAGTTGCAGAAATTAATCAAAAGAAAGAAGTTTCACAGTCAAGCACTTGTTACTAAAATAGAAGTTCCAGTTAAGTAACCATGAGAGAACTACTCTACACAATCTTAGAGTTAGAAGGATGACATAGCAGTAATTCTACTTGTGTTTTTTGCCCTGGTTTGAAAAAAGCAGTTTGTCAAATCAGAACACGAAGCAAAGCAACTGGTGAAATGGTTGAAAGTGATAAGGCTTGTGAAAATTGCAAAGAGAAGTTTGAAAATGATGAGTTGCCTAAATGTAGTTGTGGAAGGCTAAAGTCTAGATACACTTGTGATTGTAAAGAAAATGAAAATAAAAAAGAACTTCTTCTTTTGCCTCACCAAAATGGGGGAATGGCACTTTTTTATGAAACACAGATAAATGGTTTGAGGGAAGAAAAAAATCAACTAACTGAGGAAGTAGAAACTCATTTAGAGGCTTTGGAAGTGGCTGAAGATTGGCATAAAAGACAAAAACAAGAGTTATTGGATAGAATTAAGCATTTAGAAGAGGAAAATAAGCAACTAAAAGAGTTAACTCCCCAAGAATTAATAAAAGAAACCAATGATTTAAAATTTCAATTAACCCAATTACAACAGCAAAATGGTCAATTAGTTGCTCAAATTGAA